CTTTGAAATATACGAAACCTTCAGCAGATGAAGTTAAATTAAATATCAATTACTTAATTAATAGGAAAACAGGAAACTACGTGCTGCTCTCTTACTGTTTCACTAATTAAATCATTTTTTTCCGACTTACTCTTTCATGGAAATTTGTTCTTGTCGAAATGACATTCGTCCACAAAGGATTAATTAATTACACGACGAAACATCAATTTACAGTGTTCTCCCTTTGTAATATCTAGAACTCTGACGTGTAATTTAGCTTCTCGCGAGAAACGTCTGTGACACCTTGAAAAATATTCGTTCGCGAAGGGTTGAAAGACGAGAGTCTACCAGCGGACTGCTACTTTGAAAAACGAGCAACGCCACGTTTCGCCCGTTGTATTTCTATTCCCCCGACATTCTTTCCCGATTTCCAATATTGTTAAGGAGTAAATAGGGCGAGACCACAGAGAGCCACCTACGCGTTCTATCGAATCTTTCCCCGACAATTGCTCGCGATACCATTGCCATTCGCGCCGTTGCCGCTTCTGTGCGGAAAAAGGACAGCGAGAATCTTCTACGCGTGTATCGAATCGCTTAATTATGATCGAAACAATTAACACATTAACTGCTAAGAGAATTCCGAGTGTATCAGACCCGAAACGATTAACCCTTTACGAAGATTCTTTGAAATATAGTAAACCTTCAACGGATGAAGCTAAATTATATATTGATCGCTAAAATAATAGCAAAAACAGAAACTACATGCTAATCTCTTGCTGTCTGAGTAATTAAATCATTCGCCTGCGACTCAGTCTTCCAAATATGAACGTTTCATCTCGCCGAAGTGTCGACATTCGTTCGCAAACGGTTAATGATTCACTTTCGTAGTTTATACAGTAGGATCCCCTACAATCCGATCAAAAAATCATCGAAAAACGATGAAAGTGAGATTCCTCCATAAGAAACTGATACAAGCGAACCAACGTAACGCAAGATCGTTTCTCGATCTTTTTCATCTCACGTGTCGTGACAATTATGAGTATACGAGATTAACCCTTCGGCATGTTGCAACGCGTTTCTAAGAAAGCGTATCGAAACTATCAAAACACTCAATTGATCTAAATTAAGTCAGTCTAAATGAATCATATTTATATAATATATGACTAACGGAAGATATAATTATTGAATCAGAATTCGCTTACGTCAGATCTACCAATAATACATCGAAACCAAATTTTTCAAACGCCTTTAGGCGCAATCAGTAGCCAAGGGGTTAATATACTTCCTTAGTATTATTCAATTTCGTGAAACTGAAGAATTACAATTACTATTTAATTACCACTTAACCCTTTGCAGATGAATGTCGACATTTCGGCGAAATGAAGTTTTCATGTTTCGAAGATTAAGTGATAAACAAATAATTTAATTACTCAAACCCCAAGAGATCAGCACGTAGTTTCTGTTTTTCCTATCATTTAAGTAATTGATATATAATTTATCTTCATCTGCTGAATATTTTGTATATTTCAAAGAATCTTCGTCCGCAAAGGGTTAATTCAATCTTCGGATAAGCAAACAAATGTTCCGTTCACCCGAAATGTTTCGGCTGAGAGTATTCAGCACTCGAAGGGTTAATCGGTTCTATCCACTGTACGTTCGCTATTGCCTAGTTATTTGCGTTGCTAAAAGTTTTGATTCGATATCGATTTCCGCTGTTGTATCAACTTTCTAGCAATTTCGAAGCTCCGGCGTCGTCGCCGGCCATCGCCGCGGAACGTGTTAACGGTTCGAGTACGATCGTCGCGTTAACAACAAAAGGCTGTCTAATTCCATCCCATTTCGTGATTTATCGATCGAAGAAGGCGTTACGATAAAGATGAGTAGTCACTCGAGAGCAAGGTTCCGTCGTATCGACGAGTTATCTGCGAGCCTTGTCGCTTAGACGATCGATAAAGGAATTCTGGAGAGAATTCTTTTCTCTTCGTTGAAACTGGGTCACCGAGTCAACTTCCTTTTCCTTGTTCTTAGGGAACAACTAATTTCCTGCTGTTCCGTGATACTTCGGGAACTCTTCTGAAGTAGCCGGCGTTCGACATTCGTCGGTACTTAACACTAGAACTACTGTACCAGTCAAAATGACTGGTTTCGATTTTTTTATTTAGCAATGATTGATATCTTCGAAGCATTGAATATTCGAAATGATTTTGAAAATAAATAGTTTCACTGGAGTACTATAATGAATGTCTGTAGAAACTGAAAATAATCTATTATTACAGTTTTTATAGGAATTGCATATTAATCGTATTAAATGCTCGGTAGTTCTAGTAAAATGAATAATTAATTGATCCTAGATCTCGGGAAACGAGGATCATATCTGTTCACTGGAAGATATAAGTGAGAAAACAGAATCATGAATCATAGAAAAATCGAATTGTCATATATTAATGGTAACTTCTGATTAACGGTGACTTCAGAAATTTGCGTACATTGTTCAATGATCGAGCATTCAAGAAAATTCACGCTCGATTCGAACTTCCGACGCCATTGTTAATCACTTACAAAAATGAATCACATGTTCGTTACAAGTGTACGCTTCTTCCAGCGATCGAGCATCGATAACGATCGGATTTTGTTATCTAAGACAAGTGACGAGCAAGTAATTCCATTAACTAAATAACAAAACAGCAATCTAATGTCTTCTTCATTCGCTAGTATTTAACCTCTTGCGCTGGAAGGACGTACCACGCTATTGAGAAGTTTTGTTTCAAAATTCCCAATGACGTTTTATGCACAGAAAAATATAAATAAACAAAATTAGTAAAATTAGTAAAAGTAAAAGCAAAGGTCTTCGCGCAACCCTGCCATATCTCTGAACTAAAAAATTCTTTAACACGAGTATGAACAATGTAAATAGAATCATTCTATTTCAATATTTCATTTATACGTTATATGAACATATAATTAGATTATATGAACTTTGATATTAATTATCGAACGTTATAATTGTCTTACGTCAAGACAAGTGGCGACTGTCGTCTTTCGAGTGTAAAGGGTTAAATCAAGTCAGAGACAGCGAATCCGAATCGCTTTCGGAAGTTGACGTCGACGGTGTCGAGAGAGTAAACGAAGGGATTGAATAAAGGCAACGAAATTACGTGGGTCGTCCTGGATCCTCGACGCGAGAAACTCGGCCACGTTCACGACAAATCGTATCGTCCCGTTCGGCCGGGGTCTCCGATACATAAATATAAATAAGTAGGGCAGCCCGCCTTTTCAGATAACAACAGATGAATCGGGCTTGGTACGTACGTACTACGGTATCCCGTGCCAAGTCACGATCGCTTTTCGCGTTCCTCCCACAGTTTTGTGAATCGACCATTCGCAGAATTAGAAAACACCTCTTTACCCGCCTTCTCAATGATTGCGACACGCGTTCATCTGTTCAATTATCGAACGCGTTAGCCTTCTAGCCGTGAATACATTGAAATGATCGTTGATTCCGTTTTTGGAAATATTCTGACGTTGGTTTACGTATAACTTCATGTCTTGACCTTGACATTTAACCCCTTGCACTCGAGAGGTGACTCTCACTCACTTGATTTCATACAGTGAACCTATAAAATTGTAAAATTTGATAGTTAATATTATACTTTGTATAATGTATGAATTTGAGAAATATTTAAATAAAATATCTTTGTTCCTCGATGCACGTGATTTCTCTTCGACTTGGTTTCACAAAATATCGTCTTTACCTCGTCGGAAAATGTTAAAATATTTCAAGTGAAAATCTTCCGAGTGCAAAGGGTCAACATACCTGCGAATGTATAATGTATGGTATAATGAATATTATAAATTATTATGATAACTGTGTTTGTAATAATATTTGTGATAAATATGAAGTATGCTTGTTAAATAAAAGTGATATAAATATTACTCGATAAATACATTGACGATTTGGAAACATTTGATCGTGTTTGTACACTAAGGTTAACCCCAGGTGCCATTGTTCCTAATTAGAAAGAATATTTTGTTATCGCAACTATTTACTGTAGTAACTTTCGAATTAATTGTTCGCAATTAATCGTATCAATGAGGATAAAATTTATACTTGGTTAGAGAAACGTGATATATAAATAAAAAAATGGTCACGAGTTAGCCTCGACCTCAGAGTGGTTAATGGTTCTTGGAACTCGTCAACAGTCAAGAATCATCAAAGTTCATCGTATCGATAGTAAAATTGTATTTCAATTAATTTCAATATAATTCCGATTAGTACAATGAATTATTGATGAAAATTGTTTACCCAATTCGAGTCCGAATCGAACGTCAACCACATCCTCGGATCCGGCAGCCATGAGTTCATATTGATCAACGTCGAACGAAACGATTTGCATTTGTCGCTGAATCCGTCGTTACACTCTTCCTTTCATGGTACGTTACGAACGTTAACCACAGACGAAAGTTTCGCCTGTTACTGACCGAAACAATTGCCTTCGGTTATGTTTATACGAGAAAGCGACCAATTCCATCCTTCGATGCCTCTGTCCACGAACACGAGACTTAATCGATCCATCACAGTAAATTATGCGACAAGTGCTCTCAATAGGCTTCGAATTCTACACTCACACATGACCCTTCTCAAAATTCAACGCACTGAGTACCGGGCTAATTCCCGGAAAACTAAATTGTTTTATTTTCCAACGAGACTAACCTATATCACTATTTATAAAAAATAAACTCAAACATCCTATTGTTATTTAATATATTCTATACAAATACACGGTTTTAATAACATTTAATATCTTTTAAATATGGCAAGTGGCAAAGTTACATAGTAGTTGTACAAAAACAAGATGTCTCGTTTCCGGTACGCAATGTTAAAATTCAATTTTTAATTATAAGGAAAAATATATTAAGCTTTGATTAGTCATATAAAATAAAAATAATGTAAGTATAATAATAAAAATAAACCAAGTATTTCTTATTACGAATCGAGTTTATGGTGAATGTGCAATAGAAAAATTCTTATATGTTGAAAAGGTGAAATAAAAACCGCGGGAACAATCGATTAATAAGTTGAGTCGATCAATGGTGAATATTAATTTGATAATATAGATTATACGCTGGCAAATTCATAATTATAAAATAACAGTTGATTCGATTAGCGTCGGCTATATAAAATTCAATCTTATTACAGAACGACCAAAAGTTATTCGATCGAAGGTTTAGAGGTTAACGCATACCATACGCGATCAGATAACGCGAATACTAGTTTCGTACGTTGAGTCAGCTGCTGATAAAAGAGCGCAGTCACGACACGCAACGTTGGATGATGTTTATTAATGCATTAACTATCGTGATCAATTGTTCCGATCCGTTGATCTTACTTACCAATTAAATAAAAGATCGATGCCTTCGCAAGTCTGTCCTCGTCATGTATGATAAAACTGTCGTTCTTCTTTTCAAAACTGAAAGACGAAAAGTTGATTATTTCAAACGAGAAGCACGCACACACACGTACACACACAAAAAAGGTGAATTTAAATAATAAAAAATCATGTCATAAAAATTCTACTTCGATCGACCGATTAATTCCAATTAATTCAATGTTTCATTCCTCTTTGAAAAAAACGTGAAAGCGACAATGAACATCCCTCTGTTGCAGCCTCGAAACAAAGGAAAGATAGCAAAAACTTTTTACCTACACCGGAAATGAAACGAAGGGAAAAACAGCATGCATTTGTAATCATTGGATTTTATGACACGTCGAACGAAAGTGAAAGTAATATTGTATATTATCGTCTGCGTACAATATTCCAGAGATAAACGCGAAAACTTTGTTCGAAAGAATATTATTTGTTTGTAATGATCGTCGATTGCACAGGATTCGGGCAAAGCTTTTTGTCGTGAGAATTCTAACCTCACCTGAGAGAATGCGATTGCTTCGAGGATCGCTGGGCCCGTTACTCATCAACAGGAATAGCGCGGACACGGATAGGAAGCACCATTTTCTGTTCAAACGCGAATCGCATTATGTTTAGTTGGCGATTCAACAAATACAGGCAGGCACACGATAAAGTCGTAACACAAAAATGTACCTCGCTTTCTTTTGCCTGATATGTAAAGCGTCATCCGCCAGTTGGCGCTACGATGATGAACAGCTGATTTCTCATGCACGTGCGCTATATGCCAGCATCTGAAAATCAAGTTTCTTGTGCCAAAATATACACTATGGCCTGAAATCGTTCTGTAATCTGATTTTTGAAATATTAATACTATTGCTACATAATATTTTTCTATTATTATATACTCCTGTATGTACATGTAAACTATTGTAGCAAATTCATTGAATGCTGATCGATTCATTTTTCATTAAATATTTGTTTCTTAGCTGTGTCATGATAAATAATATAGAAATTTAATGTTTCAGTTATTTCCTTTTTTTTTAATAATCATTTGAAATTTTATTGTGCTTTTTTTTGTAAGAAATCATGAAATTTTACAGATCTACATACGTGATTTGATAACGTATTTTCTATCCTTTGCTTTTGGTTTAGATCTCCAGCAGTAGTCTATGTGGCTATCAGCAACATTCGCAACCTAACAGGATCTCATGATCAAATCGATGAAATGGATTTACTGCACTCTTGAATGCTCCTCGTTTAATACCTCCTCTGTTATTCTGCGTTCCTACCAATTAGAATCGAAATTTAAAAGGTTTTCATAACCAAAGTTAGTAAATTATATTATTTGGCTTTAATATTTTTCCTCTCTTTGTTAACAACCTCCATCGTTCTTATATACCTCTGCTACCAGCAGAACAAATTCAACAGAAAAACATAACTGAGGTTACTAAATCAGGAATATGATACTAGTAATTGTACCTTTGATATTCTTGAATTATTAAAATTTAGAATGAACATATCATTAGATTTTCTTTCAAAAATAGTTTTTATTCGTCATTTATCAATACTGTTACTTTTTATATCATAGGAAAATGAATCTCTTACAATTAATATTTCCAGTATAAATATATTATTCTCATATTCGAATATGATAGTTACACTCAACTTACTCTATAAATGTAAATTCTATTTTACTTAGGTAATAAAATAGAGGTAAATAAATCACTTATAAGAAAGGAATACAAAACAAATGCTGAGCAAATGCTCAAATATATTTTATTAAGGACAATAAATTTATACAGTATGTTTTAAGCGATACTGCTAGCATTGGAAGCAATCCTGGGCCATAAGTCAGCACATTCTTTTGCAACAGGTCCTGTAATAGCTGATCCTTTCATTTCACCCTTATTATTTACTATAACACCTGCATTGTCCTCAAAGTATATAAACACACCATCCTTCCTCCGAAACGGTTTCCGTTGCCTTATTACCACTGCAGGCATCACTATAAAAAAAGATGATATTGAATTATTATAAGAACTGTTAGTTCATTTACTAAGTAGAAAATCTTTATATAATCAAATTTTAATACATCACAAAGCAAGATTAAGATACTTATGAATCTATAACTATAAAGTGTGAAACTAATATAATTAATATAGTTTTTCAATAAAAACATTACCCTTTTTTCTGAGTTCAGGCTTTCCCTTCTTAACAGTGGCAACAATCATATCTCCTGATCCTGCAGCTGGAAGGCGATTTAATCTGCCTTTAATTCCTTGAACTGCGATGACATATAAATTTTTTGCTCCTGAAAAAGTAATGTTACACATGTATTTAAACAATAATCATAAATATATGAGATATATAAAATTTGAAATCATATTTCATACATGTAAGTTATTTTATTTACTTTAAAATACTATGAAAAGGAACAGAATTAAGAACCATTAACTACAAACTAGTGATAAGTAGAAACATTCTCTTGTTTAGATTCTTCTAGTGAAAATTTTAGTGTTATAAGATTTATGTTAAATAAATCGACTTATTATTATGATTTTATTCCTTCTGAATTTAGTAAAACACTACATAGAAACCGTTTGGTAACAGTAAATGACACTGATCAACCATGTGTTATTCCTAGCCATAACATGGCCAATTTTTGAGGTTATATGCTAGTTCTAGAAATTTTTCTAAATGACTTACCAGTATTATCAGCACAATTAATGACTGCACCCACTGGTAAACCCAGTGATATCCTAAACTTTGCTCCTGCTGAACCACCACGTCCTTAAAGAATAATAATTTCATGTTAATTGTTGATATTGATGGACACGTCTAACGCGGCATTTGCTTCCAATACAATCATCGATTTTTCCAAGTTTCACCGATATTAAAGGAAAATTATTCCCATTGCTACACATCATAAACATTCCTTTATTATTTTTATAAGTTACTTAAAACCGGTCACTTGTTTTCAGGTGGATTTCACTGGATTCTTTTCGATCACGAAAACCGACTTACCTCTCTTCGACATCTTGGCGTGTATGAAAGAAAAAGAAATTCGTGTTTACAGCGCACTAGCCGTTGCGCAGGCTATGTGAATCGCTTCCGGCGCGGAAACACTAGTCGTATTCAAACACGATTTTATTTTTGTATAATTTAATAAAATCTAAATGAAAAAATTGTGAGTTAGAAAATAAAAAAGTCACATGGTTGTAGAAATTTTTACGATTGTCCACTTACACATCAAATTTTATATTTTCGATGAGATAATGCACAAGT